ACGACTAACCTTTGTTCTCTCGCGGCTGTGCGATCGAGACTTTCCCGCTAACGACTAATTGTTTCCCCTTTCTCTTGCCCGAGTGCATTTGAGACCAGATCGTAGTTGTAGGTTCCCGAGCCTTAGGAACCAGTTTGCTTTCTCACTGCTGTGTGAGAGTCCCCTGTTTACCCGTAGTTAGTCGAACTACGTTTGCTCTGATCTTTCATACCAGATGGAAGTACGTAGGCACAAGACGCGATATCCTGGCGAGCAACCCTTTCCCCGTTTAGACGTAGGAAGTCGAACTACGTTGACTCTGACTTTCCCATTGCACGAGGGAATACGTAGGCCCAGAACACCGTATGTTCTGTCGAGTCCTGTCCTTCTGTTTTCTTTTCAGACCGACCATTAGCGTAGATAGATAACACACCCTTTTACCTATAAACACCAAGCGTGGATCCCATCGAGTACGATGGACGTGAGGGGTGCTAATACCTTCCCCTTGCGTAACCGACTCCCGAATCCAGGTTTTGGTTGCGATGACCATACCTTTTCCCGTCTTTGCGAGGTTTACTTCGAGCGTTTCCTTTCCCGCTCTGAGGGATAAATAACGCACGGTGGCGACTCTCCTGTCAAGCCGGCGCCGATTTTCGCAGTAGCGATACTTCCAACACGTTCCAATCCGTCATGACTGCAGGTGTTTGATCCAACTACCAATCTTTGGATTTGCCGAGCAAAGCATGAGGAAAAATTCTTTTGAACAACGGTAGCTCTTGAGCTTTATCAACTTCGGCTGCTAATGCTATCTCGTAAAATTTGGTGAGAAAAGCATATGGGTCTTCATGGTCCATTCTGGTGAATGGACTTCCGTATAGCAAATTAAGAGTTCCCCTCTTCATCTCGACTTGCCTTCCCGTGTGGTTGCCAAACAAAGCAGTGTTTCTCGGACTGTTGACGCATGGTGTGGAAACGGGCGGTGGTGGTGGATCCATGATAGGTATGAAAGGTGGTGGTGGTGTTGATGATGATGATGATGATGGTGGTGGTGGTGGTGTTGTAGAAGAACCTTCTCCTTGTTCTTGTCGTTGTCTAGCTTGTTGCCTCCTCCGTCTTGTTCTGCTATTCAGTCTCCTTGCGGTTCTTTCAATCTCGGGATCAAAAATAATTTGGTCCTCAGGAATTTGCCCTCGCATAAAAAAAAAGTTGCACACTAAACCAAACAAATTAACAAGCACAAGTCAAACAATTCAGAAGTTAAAAATTCAACAACTATTGTGATGCTCGCAATATCAATTCAAACTCCCTGGCAACGGCGCCATTTTGTTGGAACAGTGGTAAAGTATCGGGGTTTGTTATCGTCTCCACAGGGAATCTGTGATATTGTCGTCGTTCGACAGTTGTTAAGTTCTTGACTTATAGTAACAATGGGGTTTTGGTTTTCGATTACGGTTGCTTTGCATAAAAAGTAATAAGTTACAGTAAAAGATTTGGTTTTAACGATTTTAGAAAGATTGTCAAAGTTAGGGTTCGACGATCACTTTGTATGTATATGTTCGATCAAACAAAACTCATAAACTCCATTAGATGATAAACGCATTCACAATATCCTCTCAATGTGATTATCTCTAACTCACATTGTAGTTTTTCCCATTTTGATCCATTGTTGATTTCTCACACAATCTATCAAGATGACAACTTTTAGGGTTTGATATTTTAGTGGACAAAAACATTCAAAACTATCTCTAGCTCAAGAACAAAGATGGATGAAAACCTAGGTCAAGATTTGGAAAACATCTTTCAATCATAAACCAACATAAAGAGTTATCAAATAAACAAAGTTTTCACCATACATTCATCATCAAAGAGTTTACAAATGAAGATCAACCCATTTACACACAAAGCTTGATGATCATCTACATCTAACCTTGACAAAATGAAGGACTTAGCTACTCATTTTCATGGTAGCTTGCACAAGAAGTTTCGGGAGAAGGTTGATGTACATCCGAGTCGAAGAATCGAGTTTGGATGAGAATCCACCTTCTTTTTGGTAAATATTGTTAAGAGATGAAGAATAATGAAAAATTGGGTTTCTAGGGCACAAAAATCCCTTTACATCAAAAAATAGTAAAAAAAATGATCCCTTTCCACAAAGTTGACCATGCTATTTATAGAAAAAGTTGTTGTGTTGTCACGCTCGCGACCTTGCTCGCCTAGCGAGCTCTAAGCGAACATTTGCCACAGATTCGCCTAGCGAACATGCTAGCGAATCTTGAGGATTTGATTCTTGAATGCTTCGCTACTTGCTCGCTAGGTGTTCGCCTAGCGAGTTCTTCGCTACCTTCCTCGCCCCAAGCGAATGATGCCAATTTGATTCTGTCCAAGTCTGGGAGTGTTCGCTAACAGCTCGCTATGAGCTCGCCTAGCGAACAGTTCGCTGCCTCACTCGCCAGGTGTTCGCCTGACGAACATGCTTTTGCTTGCCTTTTTCCTTCATTGCTTTGCCATTTTTCTTGTGCCTTCAACTTCTATTGTTTAATGCCAAATTTCTGCAAAATAATACACAAATCAAAGGTACCAAGAGTATTTTACATAACATTGCATATCAACAAAAGCAAGGCGGTTTTGAACACAAACTTGACAAAAAGGAGCGAAAGATGTCCATATTTGATAGCTCAAATAAGCACAATTGGGGATCTAACAGTGGTTCAAAGAGGTTAAGAGGTGGGAGTCCAATGTGGTTGATGCAAAAAGGGTTATGTGGCTGAGAGTGTTTGGGATCCTCTGCCATGCTTGGAATGACAAGTTTTTTGAATCCAATGTAAAACCTTTTTTCGTTTTCATGTGCTCTAATGATGGTACGGGATCACATTCGAAGTTGGATGTTGCTAGAATCTTGGTTAGAACAAGATGTGCATCGACTTTGAATGAATTTCAAGATAAAGGAAGTGATGTTTAAGTTGAAGGTGGTTGAAGATTCTCATGGTCCTTTGAGAATATCCATGCCAGCGGTGTCAGAATCGGAGTTGGATTCGTTGGAGTCGAAAATATGATAGGAGCCTATAGTTGATATTGTGTTTGATTCATAGATCGAGGACGTTGGGAAGGTGGCGACAGGTGTCCAGTCTTGTCGCGAATAAAGAAAGAACATGTACGAGGTTGAAGTTGATGGCGACATGTCTGCTTTTTCGAAAGTTTGTTTGGGTAACATTCAAGTGGATTGTAAGATGAGAGCAGTTATTGCTCCTACTCTCAATGCTCCCCTTTGGGGGCGGGGGGAATATTTTCAATGTTAGGACTTTTAAACTACTTTGCTCTTTATATGAAACAAAAATCCCAATATGCCACACTTTGAAAACAAAGTCTCAGTATACCCAATTTTAAAAGAGTCTCGCCATTCATTGGGCGAGGGTACCCTGCATTTTTTTCAATGTGTATCCTCGGTCATTTATTAGATTAGGTTATGAATTTTTTTTTTGTTATTTTAATATTTTTAATTAATTTTTTAGTTAATATAATGATAATTTTAATATTTTACAAATAAAATTATATTGTTTAATTTATGAGATTATAATTATTTATAGAAAAAAAATTAAATTAGCAACAAAAAATTTTAAATAAAAATTAAATTCTTGTCTTTTCCAAGATTTAATAAGGTGATGCACTTTTTCCCTCTTTAGATATTACTTACTTTATGGCGAATATACATGTAATTTTATTGAAAACTAACAAAAATCGAGTCTAATAGAATGAGATAGATTTTTTATTTTTAATCAAACTCATAGAATAGCTAAAGAGACATTAATTTGTAGCGAAGAAAGTTTGAAAATATCTCACTCTGCTTTTTATTTTAAGGGATTAAATTTTACTCATAAAACTATTAAACCGAAAAAAATAAAACAATGAGATAGATTAAAGGCAAAACACATTTTTGGTGTAGCCTTTTTTATTTCCAATTTTATTCCTAATAAATTGATTATATTATTTTTTTTATTAGTTAATTATTATTTCTCATCTTTCATAACTTCTATGCGGTTTTTAAACCAATAAATCTCATCTCTCCATTTTATATTATACCCATTAGATATAGAAAGAACAAAAAAAAAAGATCGAGAGAGAAAAAAAATATTAGAGAAACAAATGGAAGAAAGAAGACAAAGATAAAAATGAAAGAGAAAGATAATAATGGAGAAGAGGTTATTTTTTCAATTTTCATAATATCTTTTTTTAATTTTAATGTTCTCACTAATTTTTAAAGATTAACCATTTTGATTGATTCATTTACTCATTTTTAATTTTATTCATTTTGTTCTATTGTTTGATTAATATGATGAATATTATTGAAAATTATTCAGTATCATCGTTAATAAATAAGAAAGAAAGGAGTCAAAAATTTGTGTTTATTGTTTTTAATGTATAACTCAGTCTTAATGATAAATTCATATTATTTTTAATATGATGAATATTTTTAATGTGTAACTGAGTCGTTAATGCATGAGAGTGAATGTCACATAATTTATTTTAAAAATAATTAAAATTAAAATTAAAATAAAATTTTTTTTGAGCGTGTTAAAATATTAAAAAACAGTGGACAGTGCCCATTTGAACGCTAGTAACTTTAAACCGAAAAGTCTAGAAGTCCGGGGAGTCACTTTCCTGCGGATGTTGTTTAAAGTAAATGTTGACACAAGAATCGGACATTGCAGTCGCGTGACATACTTAATTTACTGAATGAATTAAAGGGTTTGGGGTTTAATCCTTTAAAAACAAATTTTGCTGTAGCATTGATTGCAAAAACATCAGTAACCAAATCGATGTGGAAGGAGAAAGTTGATTCCTTTAACTGGGTTGGTCTGATGAAGATGTCATTCAAGCATTTAAATGTAGTTTGTCTCTTTTCTTTTGAACTAAACTTATGAAACAAACCGAACTCTAGAAAGGCAACCATTTCAATATATCTTACATCAACAATTTCTAGAAACAAACAAGTAACCATATTACAATCATAATGCCCTACTTCTCTAGACATAAATCATGTTTTTACCGGGCTTAGATAGCATCCTCCAGTAGTAAGTTGAGTAAATAATATCTGAAAATAACGAAAACTGCAAACCTATGTACAAAAGTATAGGGAGGAAAGAAAGTAATGCAATGGAACTAGGAACCCACTTTGACCCATGGTAGTATGTAATGAAGAAGGCACTGCTAAATGCTACCATCATGCTCGTTATGGAGATGAACAATGCGATCAATCCAAATATTAGCTTTAAAGGGAGTGATTTATAAAAATCATACTCTCCATAGCGCGAGACAAGAATAGACAAGAAGATCAATATTGCAGTTGAAGATGAGATAAGTGCCGATGCATCTGATATTGCAAACACCAAGAACGATGGTTTAGCTAAAAAGTTTGGTTTCCCTGTGCCATCATTTGTTCCGCCCGGTAAACTAAGTGCAGCAGTGAAAACTCCAGTAGCAATGACAGTTGAAATTAGCATACAAGACTCGGCCGTTTTTTTCATCCAGGACTCCGCATTTTCCCTTAGTTTTTCATGCTCCTTTGAGAAAAGTTCTTGTGCAGTGTCGCCTTCAGAGTTTCTCATTTTTATTTCTGCCGGCATCATTATCTTCTTTACTTTCTATCATATATCAAAATATTAGTAAAATAGATTTGTAAAAATAATATTACATGAAAAATTAAAAGAATCGATATATATAAATTGTACCTCAAACCATAATAACTCTAGGCACATTTGAAAAGCTGCTCCAGACACCAATTCAAGTTGACTTCGTGGTGCTAATTTTGCAGCCAAATGCAGTAAAGTGTTTCGTTCTTCATCTTCATAAGTCACTATGACACCCTTTATATGCCCTATTTTATGTACAAGGTTGAAGATACTAGCGTGGCGATGCATTACAGCTATGTGCAATATAGTTCGGTTTTTGCTATCCACATCCCATATCAAGCTAGGGTAACCACTGATAAGCTCTGATAAGAATCCAAAATTTCCAACTTTTGCAGCATCAAATATTAGTTGAGAAGGTTCGTTTCTGATTTTTCTTAACTCTGCTTCTGAATAATAGTATTTATCAAGAATTATGGTCCAAAGAAATTTAACCAACTGAAAAGCCACATGATTTTTCATGTCTGCAATAAGAAACTCTGTTACTTTACTGTTACATAAAATTCATAAAACAAATGTAAAAGAATTTTTGATAAAATCAAAAGAGAGTGTACTTATTTACCAGGATTGATCATGATGGGATTATCATTATGTTCTGGACCATGACAACAAGAATCCAAAGACATTTCATTTTGAGCCAACAAATGCAAAGCAGTCTCTTTATTCGCATCGCGTGCAAAAGCCAGCTCATTCTTATCTTTTGCCATTTTCAAGGCTAAGTCTGAAATTTTAAAAAAATGTTATGATCAATATTTTCACCATTAATTAAGTGGAAAATGCTACATGGAATCAGAATACTTACCATAGATGCCAGTGTAGATACAAGCAAAGAACAATAAATTCCAATCCTCATCTTCGAAACAATTTACGGTTCTACCATACAGATGCCATGTCATTTTGTATCTTCCCTGCAAAGCAGCATGCTGAATAGGAGTATATCCATTTCCACCTCTAATTGTTGGTAACTGATTGTCTTTTTCCAACATTAAGTCAGCAATTTCGACGTTTCCAGCTGCAGCAGCAAAAGAGAAAGCAGTGTTGCCGTTGATATCTTGCAATTTCAAGTCTTTAGTATCATCCAACATTTCTAATAACTGCTTCACAAATTCGATGTGGTTTGCACCTGCTGCAATATGCAGTAGTGTAGGCCACCCATATGTTATGGCAGCATTTTTCAACTTATTTTCTTTGTCTATGATGCGCTTGGCTCCTAGCCAGTTCCCTTCTAGAGCAAGCTTGTGAATTGGAACACAAAGGTTGAGAAACTTTTTCTTTGCATCATCACCTAAAACAAAATAATAATGGAAATTAAAAAATCAAAATAATATCATATAATGTGTGAATTTAATAAGAATAATTTGATAAAATTTTTATTTTTTATTTTACTCAGACTTTTAATTATTATGAAATTGTCAAGGATGATACTTATTTTAAAACAGAGAGAGTATATAAGTGAGAGAGGGAGAAACACACTTGTTTCTTGCAAGAACTCAAGGTTAGGAGTGTTGAATAGTGCCGTTGCAGCGGTTTTTACTCTTGATAATATCGGTGCTTTTGAATTGACTTCAGGTATTGTCACTTCCCTATCAAAATATATATTTTGCAACTTTAACTCGAGAGAATAATATTATCATAATAATTATTCTATTATTGATAAGTAAATATTAGCCATACTATATATATGGATGAGAAAACCAATAAAATGAATATACAAAACACTTACTTGTCGAGCTCATCCCACATTTTCTTTGCTGTATTGCAACTTGAAACTCTTTCAAGATCAGCTGGGTTTAAGGCACAGCATAAAATATGTTTGGCTTTTGCTTCTTGTTCCATCATCTTCATGTCTTCATCATTGAACTCATCTTCGGATTTCTCAATTTCTTCACCATTTATTGTTTTTTTCGGAACTTTTGGTCCATTCTTGATCACAAGCCAAAGTTTGAAGTCAAAAGATTGAATGAATATCTTCATACGCTCCTTCCATTCAGTGCAATTTTTACCATCGAAGTATGGTGGCTCTGAAATGGATCGTCTTTCTACCATGGTTATGGTTGTATCCATTGTTTTAAAACAATTGTATCGCCTACAATGATGTATGTTTTCCTTTAGTCTCTGAGATATCAGATTAGTGATAACAACTTGACATTATAGCTTCAAAAAGATTAAGTACATGCTGAAAATAAATTGAGGATTTGATAAAAGATTTTTTTTATAAATCGAATAATATTTGCGGAAAATGGTAGAAACTAATATCTCAAAAACTAAAAGGATCACAATAAATGACAAAAACAAAGTCAAATGAGTATATTAAATTTATTTATTAGATAATTTAGATTTAAATCTTTGATCCTTTCTAGATAATTAATAATCGTTAGAGTATAATTTATTTTAAAATAGTAAAATAAGTTCTAAGAAAGTATGTCTAATTATTTATGTAAAAATGATTCGACATTCAATATTAAAGAAGTCTCAACAAAGTTAGTTAGGCTAACTTTGGAAAGGTTGTTAGGAGGATAGTATAGTTAGTTAGAAAGTTAGTAGAATGTAACTATCCACTCGAGCTAGCTAGTTTATAGTATATATGTAGCATGAATCTCTCACTTGTAACACAATGAATATAGAATCAATGTAAGAAGATCTTGCTTGGCCTCTCTATTCCATGAGACTTATTTTTGTCTCTCTCCATGTTTGAATTCTTATCTAGTATTGTGTTAGTCTAGAAGGGACCTTCATTTTGCTACATCATCTTCATCATCTTCACCAAAGGTGCTGATCTAAGCTTCAAATAAGCTTCCTCTTAGTTGGCGTGTGCAAGTATTGTTTGGGTTTTGTAGGTAACTTCAAAGAAGCATCAATGACGGAATTTGAAACCTCTCCACTTAATTCACAACTTGTAACCAATTCTTCTCAAGTGCAAGAAATACGTTTTTTCCAAAGCTATCAATTAAGCTGAAAGAAAATAACTTCTTGTTATGGAATCAACAAGTTGATGGAGTAATTCTCTCACACAGACCCCACACGGCGTTGGTGAATCCGTAAATCCCTCCAACGTTCAAAATAATTAATGATCGAAAAGAAGAAATTGTTTCTGAAAACTATGAAGGTTGGATCTTTCAAGATTAAGCTTTTTTTACATGGCTACTTTCCACGATCTTTGAAGTTGTGTTACCACAGATGTGTTCTTGCTAACATGCATATGAGGTTTGGGATAAAGTGCATATGCAGTTCAACTCTCAAATAAAGGCTTGTGTGCATCAGTTGAAGTCAGAACTCAAGACAAGAAAGAAAGCAAATCACTTCATATTAGAGTATTTCCCTCGAATACGAGACATATATGACTCACTCCTAGTAATTGGAGATCCAATCTATGAAAGAGATTAGATTGGTACAATTCTCTTGAAGAATTAATCCCTTTATCATGATGATTTAAAGAAAGGCAAACCAACTAACATCTATGATGTGGAAGCTCTCTTGTATGTTCAGGAATCACAACTTGTAAAGTATAAGAAAGAGCTTGGTTTGTAGATTTAGATGCCTCACATTATATCACCTCTAGTGATTCTATTTTACAAACTAAAATGTCATGTGCAAACCCTAACAAAGTATTAGTTAGTGATGGACGTAGCATGGTAGTTAAGTCTATTAGTAATTCTAAGTTCAAATCCAAATTTATGCCAAATCTCAAGCTACATTTAGGTATCTTGCTTCATGTTCCTAAAATTACAGAAACATAATCTGAGTGTCAAAATTTTCTAAAGATAATGCATTTTTTTAATTTCACGCTGAAAAATGCTGTGTAAATTCACAAGAATCTAGTTTGGTGTTACTTGAAGGATTTCGTAATGGAAGTGAATTGTACAACTTAAGCAATCTAGCTCTGGAACCCTCTAGAAGTTGATCCAGTCACAAGTAACAAAATTTGTCTTCCATTATTCATAATACTACTGTGTGTAATCTTATTAGTACTGAAAATTATGTTGCAAATAAATGTTTCCATTCTAGGTAAGGTCATGCATGTCCTAGAGTCATTCATATCATACTTGATTTATGTAACATTCAGTTCAAGAATAAATATCTTGTTGAACTTTGTAACTCTTGCTGCCTTGGTAAGTCACATAGACTTCATGCTCTCCTGTCCACTAACAAGTATACTAACGATTTTGAGGTAGTCCACACTCACTTATACTAACAAGTATACTAACGATTTTGAGGTAGTCCACACTCACTTATACGGGCCATCACCTGTACCCTCAAGTAAGGGTGACTCTTATTACATAGCCTTTGTTTATGCATTTTCAAAATACAATTGGCTTTATTTGTTAAAACAAAATATTGATGTTCTATCTGCTTTAAAATTGTTCCACAACAATGTTGGAACTCAATTTAATGCCAACATAGAGGTTGTTCAATCTGACTTTGAAGTTGATATTAGGACTTTCACCAAATATCTCAATGAGTTAGGCATTGTACATGCACAAGTTAACTTGTCCACAAACTTCACATCAGAATGAAACATTTGAGAGAATGCATAGGCAGACAGTGGAAATGGGCCTAATACTACTTTCTTATGAGTATATGTCAATCAAAATTTGGGATCCTAGCTTCACCATAACAATCTATCTAATCAACAGGCTATCAACTTCTAGTTAATTACCTAAGTATTTCTCCTCGCTCTACCTTTTACAACAAGAAATCAAATTAAAAGTTACTAAAGGTATTTGGTTGTGCATGTTTCCCTTTGGTTAGGTTGTAAACCAACATAAGTTGCAGTTCAGGAGCATTTAATGTATATTTATAATGGTGTCTTTCATACAATGGTTACAAGTGCGTTATAGTAAAGGTATAATTTTCATTTCTAAGGATGTGACTTTCAATGAGATCGAGTTTCTCTACAAAAGTTATCATACACACAACTCTTAGTTGAAATCCATATATCACCCTCGCATCAAGCCCTACTTACCACTAGTTGTGTCTAGCTCATCTAAAAACACAAAACACAAAGAGTCTATAAAGAAATTTATTGTTAAAAATCATAGCAACAAAGTACAAGACACCGCACCTAGTCTGGTTGGTCCTTTAGTCCAAACAAATGGCTACAACTTTTCAACAAGTTTGAGTGAGTCCAACACACATGTACCAACTTGCACAATCGTACTTGCTAGTCAAGACCAACCTACACACATAAAGCAACCTCATGTTTTACCTATTGGGAATTCTCTTGAACCATCACATGCGTCTAATACCCTTTAGTAAGTTTCAAGTACACCTACATGTCATGTACCAATTACTCGTACGCCCAAATCATATGAGTCTGTCAATGACTTCAGTCCCAAGCAATCAAAAAATCATTGAAAATAATTCTACTTTCACACAAGAACAATTCACTTCAGCCCTAAGAAACCAAAAAAACATTGAAAATAATTTTACTTTCTCAATCAAATGGCTCCATGCTACTAACACAGATAAAATAAATTAAGGACTTGCTTGGTAAAGTCAACATGACAAGTGTTAATGGTGTGAACAAACCCAGGTTTAGTTGTTGCAAGTTAAGCAAACTTGATACTGATGTGTTGCTTGATCCAACTATGTATAGATCAATAATAAGAGCTTTGTAATTGTCACTCTCACACAGGAAGACATAACTTTTTGTGTAAACAAAGCATGCAAGTTCATGACTAACCCACTTGAATCTCATTGAAGTTTGGTTAAAAGAATACTAAGGTATCTAAGTGGGTACAATGAATAAAGAATTAATGCAATAAAATCTTGCTTGAAGGAGATTTATTTTAATCTCACTCCATATTTGAATTCTTATCTAGTATTTCATTCATTTAAAAAAAATATAAACTAAAATATTAAAATTTACTTAAAATTTTATTTTAAAAATCATGTTAAATTTGATAAACAAATAATATAAATTCAGTTTTTTAAATTAAAAAAAAAAATATTTTTAAAACTGTGAATGAATTTGAATTTACAATTTAGCTTGAAAGAATATAAGAAAAACTAGATGGATATTAGAGGAGCTTGGTGACAAAATACTCCAAGGACTGTTGGAAATAATAAAGATTTATTTCCATTAAAGTTGTTCCAAAATGACAAAGTGAGTGATATAGTTAATTGACAATAAATGCTTAGTCTCAAATTGAAAGTGGAGTAAAATTAAATAGCATTTATAAGGCCCTTGGAACAATGTAATTTCCAAAGGAGGCAAAGAGGATAAAGTGTCACATAGTCATATGTGGTGGTGTCAAAACTTATGTCACTTGTCTGATACAAAACACCACTCGCTGGTGTCGCCACCGGCGACACCGGCTCCGGCTCCGGAACCGGATCCGAGGGCGTGAGCGTAGAGGCGCTAGTGGCGGCTTGTGGACGGCACTTGAGCACTTAGACACGACGCATCGGAGCAATTAAATTATAGCCGACACAGTCCTTGTCACTCTAAAGTTTTATATAAAAAGTTTTATGTCAGAGAGAGAGAGAGAAAAAATGTTTTATTGCAAAACAGACAAAAGGAGAAAAATTCAAATTTTACAAATCAAACATTCGTATAAATATCAAATTGTGAACTGTTTTCTATGGCTTATATATATTTTCAAATGAATCATGAAAATAGAATAATAACCAATACATGGAAAATGTTAAAGCACCATACCTGTAAAAACACGTAAGAGGACTTCAATTTGCTCCTTCACTTACCTGCAAAAATATATAGCAAAAAACATGTTCAGTTAGCAGTACTCAACAGCATGTAGTTTTCACTTCTAAGAGAAACATTATTAAAAAAAAAATAATTAATAATTAATAAATAAATGTAAAGAGAAATTACTCAGATTTTTGAAGTAATAGACGAGTTCTTGTTGTAATTTTGTGGCATAACAAACGAAAGATAGAGAAGTATATTGAGATTCAAATGGAAACTGGAGAATGAAATGGAAGATTGAAGAAGGTATTGTAGTGGTTGAAGTGATATATACACAACAGAACTAAAAGGAGAAACAAGAAACATAGATAAAAAGGTGATTGTGATGAATGAAGGAGGGAGGAAGGTATAGTGT